TTCTGCGACAGAGGTATCTAATTTTGTCCAATGTTGCCTAACACTCATGGCTAATCTCAACTTCTACCAGCTGCGAAGTCCTTAATATCATGATCACCGTCTTTGCATTTGTCGGCTACTTTCAAGTTGCTGGTAGGCTCTACACCATATTGCAAGAATTGCGAGCTGAATGTTTAGACATCAGTCTTCTCCGCCCTACGCGTCTTTGCGATTACCGGCGGATACCGTATGCTAACAGCGCTGACCCTAGGATTGGGCCTTACACCTTTTGGAACTAATGTGGTTGGTGTCAAGATATTGTGAACGCTCATCGCTGATCATAATATCGGTACTTAGTTTTTCTTGACCAAGACACAGGGCTGTAATGGACCTCTTAACATATCAAACAAGGCATCATTAATGTATGTGGCATCTTTTCTAGTTTATGGTTTTGTGGCAATCTCAGCATACATTGTAGTGGTGGGTTATAGCATCTTCAGTATCCTTTGAATGAGCTCATGCTACTCCGTAGTCTCTCTCATTACTCGAATCTCGCAAATCATCATCGACCTGCTGGTAGTCATCGCAACATGGCGGCGAACCTTCCAATATTGGAAGGATATCTCTAGATCCCAGTGTCCACCAACAATTTCAGCGTGTCTGCTCCGCGATGGTGAGTCTTGTGGGAAATGGCGCGATACTAACGGTTGACTAAGACCGCTTACCCTAGGAACCGTCTATTTTTTGTAAGTTTCCACTGGCAGCTTCACTTGATGCCATGCCTGATTATGTTGCGCAAATCAGTGCGCTATTACTTGTGAATATTGCTCAGATATTGACACGCAGTCCCGTAAGCCAAAGCCCTCGTATCCCAGGCCTTTATTATCAGGCTAACCCACTTGTAGACATTAGCTCCTGTGAGCCCGCTCACCACAGCAATGGTATGATAGCTGTAATTCACCGGTAACACGGTCACGGTACTGACGGACTTCAGCCCCCAATTCTGGTTAGCCGGTTCATGCTGAATCTGCGCCAAGTGCGCTCCGAGCCGAGTACCCAGTCTTGTTCTGCCGTAATTCCTACATTTGAACCTACACTTTCGAGCGCCGACTATGGGGCGTTCACGAGCATCATCGGTAACATCGGCGAGCCCCTGGTACACGGGTGTGACGAAGAGACCGAAGAGCATTGAATACCGATTCTTGCTATCTGTTCTCCCCAGGCAGCCCCAATGTAGCCAAGGACACGCCTTGTCCACCACCGCATATCATCTTCTCCACGTTATACCTAATCTTATTTGGGAGACTTGTGTCGATATATCTATAACCTATAGTCTAATAGTTTACCTTGCCGTGCCAGTTGCAGGAAGATGACAATGATGTGCCGTATAGTAGATGACCGGCCATTAATACCAGCTTGCTACCAATATCTACATGTCAATCTCGGACAGGCCACTAAAGACCAAGTCAGGTATCCAGATTATCCCATATCTCCTCCCTCATGCGCGCCGGGCTCAGAGCTGCCTCTAAGTTCCTCATGACACACACGCGCTGCGGAACCCCGAACTGTGCTCCCAGTCCAAGACCGAGAGCCGCTCCAGACCACACATGGAATGGTACATCCAGTTCTCGAACAGGCCCGAGTCGAGGACACACCCTGCCCATACTTAAGTCGAGCTCCGGCACGCCGCCTAGGCGCAGCGCTCGCGGGCGGCGTGGGTGCTGTAGGCCGCGTTGGCGGACGTCGTCTGCTGGAGCATGCATGGAAATGCGGCGGGAGACGGGGCGATGCCGACGAGGAGCGTGCCATCGGGCAGCCCGCCGCCATCGATGCCGCGTTGCGCGAAGCTCTCGGAGCGGAGGAGCTCGTAAAACGCGAGCTTGCGCACGGCCGGCAGGCTGTACATGTGCGAGAGGGCGACCGTCTCGGCCGCGTGGCCAGGGCGTGTGCACCGACTACTGTTCGTCGTGCACGATCATGTTTCGGAGAGCACACGATCCGCACCACGTCTTTAAGTCCATAGAAGCACCTGGCAATATGGACGACTTTGAACGCGGTACATCCTTGCACTCCGGTTAAAACACGTGCGAAGGGTGCAGCAGGCGCATCGTCGGTCCCTTCCACAAGTGCATGGATTGTCCAAGCTTCAACTACTGCGGATCCTGTGCCAACAGCTCACAAAAGCGAAAGTTGCACAATCCTCAGCATTCATTCTTCCCTGTTCAGTCTCGAATGGACATGTCAACGTTCCTCGGAGTCCAGGCAGCGCGGAGACGTGTCGAGCATTTTGGCGTGACGTGCGATGGCTGCAGGCAACGTATCCACGGCGTCCGCCATAAATACCTCCATTGTACCGACTTCGACTTTTGCGACAAGTGTCTCTCTAATTCAGTGGTACGTGAGCAGCACGGCTTCCACCACCAGTTTTACCCCGTCGACTCACCCGGCGATTTCGCCGAATATGATCGCGTGCGCTCGACCTTGTCCCGCACACCTGCCGCCAACGTGCACCGGACATTCTGCGACGCTTGCGTCGCGAACCCTGCTGTGCTTATCCTTGTCCTTGACATCTCGCCTGTGCTTCAGTCGCCGGACCCAACAGCGACTGCCATCTCAAGTGAGTGGTTGATCCTGTTCGCGAGAAGCGATTCTGACGAGATAGCAGTCGCCGCTCCCTGTCTTACTCTAACGCTCGTGCACATGGCGACATGTGAGATTTCGCCGACCGTCGTAGCCGCGCGCGTTTACGTGCACATGTCCAATTCATAAAAGGAGGCGTTAGTGATTCGCTACCTTTCCATGCACAGCTACCTGCCCGAGAGATCCTTCAGATGCCCCTAAAGTCTTGTTGGTCACTGCGTATCATGATAGCGATGGGCGGAAAGAGTCTGGGCAGCAGCGCTGTGGCGGCTGTCCATCTCGCAGCATCTCTCGAGAAAATGCTTCGGCGCTTGCACAGGTAAATGATCCGTCAATCAACTCAACATGCTTGAGCTAATGTCGCTTCTGGCGCGTACGCAGCAGTTGACGTCCTCCACAAGGTGAGCCCTGTCCCCCAATATTCGCGGCGCACAGCATGTACTTCGTTGTCGGCCCTATATCACTCCGACAAAGGCGACGGAAGACAATGTTCATCAGTAACGCCGAGGGCGCGCGAGCAGGGTATCTAGTGGATATCTCCCGTCATAACATGTGTTTACAGCAGAATCCGATATTCGACGTCAACAAGCCAAGTTGAAAATGCTTAAAGCCTTACCTTCACTATTGAGGGGTAGTACTTACGTTGACCGCCAGCCGTACTCGTACCCCCTGCCGGGCAATAAGACGGCGACATGGCCGACGCTCCGGCAACGTATCAGCTGTAAGTTTCTGCATTCTCTCTCGAACAACGCCCTACTACAATCTCTGATCTTCGAAGGCTTGTTGGAGAATGGACAGCTGCCGCGATATCGGGCCCGCCCTCGAGCCGACCGGGCATAAGCGCTGTACTGACCTGCTTCGAATAACTGTAGCGTTTTACGAGCACACCATTACATTCGCGCAGGAGGTCGAAGTTGTTGGGATGGACAAGTGCCGAGAACCTTGAGGTAAGGACCTTTTCTTCTGCTTCGGAATGGGGGTATCTCACTGCTTGATTCCCGCGGAAGCACAATTTCAATCTGCGGCGGATAATTAGCTTACACCTTTCTTTTCCAGCGCATAAACACCGCCCTCACCCGTCTGGCTTTCATGCAGACCGCAGGTGTGCTCTCTTCGGCATCATGGTGAACTCCGCAGAGCTGATCCCATACTCGTAGCATTTTTGTCCCTCCGGCTATCCGCCATCTCTGATAGAAGCCTGTCGCTGCCGTTCTCATTCTGAGCCTTGTCCTGGTGACCACGAGTATCGTACGTCACTCGTTCTGCCAACGACACAATCTGCTGATATTTGATGACGTGCAGTTTGGAGCGATAAAGATGCACTATGGCGCGCAGTGCATCACTTCTCACTCGACGTCTGCGCGCACAAACGAAACGTGCGTATATCACGTTGAATGTCTATAATCATGAATGACCGATCTCCGCTGGTAGATGTACGTACATTAGAACTGCGTAATTACTACTATCTCATGAACGCTTCATCTTGCCACAGTTCCCCCCCTTGACTCTCGTTTCCCTTGTGCTTGCGGGCCTTATTCTATTGGTTTGATCTGGCAGAAGTCTTTTACAGATTGGCAAAAAGCTCTACATGTTCAGAAGCGTCGTAATGCGCCAAATTGCTGCCACAACATGCTGCGCGTCTTCGAGCTCCGCCGTGGTACTTGCCGAGACGGTAGTTACGCAGGAATCATATACTTCTTGTGCGTTGCCTATGGCCTTATCACTGCCTGAATGCTACTCACCCGTGGCAAAGATTCATGCTGTTGATGAAAATGATACAATTGTTGACCTACGATACGACAAGCATCTCGAGGCATGTCGCGTCAATGTCGTTCTGCAGTGCTCGAGCTCCATGCCTGTCTCAGCCATCACCCAGATCATGGTACGATTTTTCGTACGTTGTGTTCGGACCCACCTCATGCATGTGTGGCCACTCATCGCCAGCCGATTCATGCTGAATCTCCAGGATCCGCCAACCTATCGGTTGGCAAAGCGCACTGCAGGACTTTGCTACACACCAAGACACCAGGCTACCTCGGACAGAACGGAGACCAATCTCAAGCATCATAGGCGATATTGGTGGGGGGGGATAGATTACGTTGACCGGCCTGCACTTGAAGATGAAGGCAACGGGAGAGTCCTGGAGTGGATGTCAGAGCAAGATGTGATGCTACCGTCATCCGCGTATGGCCCGGAGGTCAGTCTCAGGTAACTTGACGTATTTCAGGCTGACAGGCGGCTCCTCAGGCAATATGATCGTGTGGTCGCCGTATGATGAGGCGTACATGTAGCCCGCAAACCATCATTTCCGCTTTAGCTCGGCGCTGGCATCAGGAACTGGCTGAGCCTGCTTGATTCCATGAATCCAGGCTTCTGGCATTTAAAATGACTGCAACCATGCTGCCTTCCGTTGGGCGGTTTTCGTCGTTCTGGTATTATCCGGAAATCGCGTGGACTGGAGCGACGGGCGTAGGAGCCGAAGTGCTGTCGTGCGCCAAACTTTCGTAGATGCCCACGTGGCGGTGTCCCGTAGTCTACTGGAAGCCGCCTGGAAAATTGCGCGGCGAGGTGTAAAGTTAAAGGCACTCGTCACATTCCGTGGCCAGGTTACACAGCTTCCAAACGTTACCTTCTACCAATTGTGGAAACAGAGATCCGGTGAGTGGCTTCCATCCCTGTTCCGGCGCCTCGTTGTGCTCTGCTCATGTGCTCGTCGAACAGATATCTGGGGCATGTCATATTGAACACAGGGGTCCTTGTGCTGTAGTAGACTTCTTAGGGAGGCTGTAGTTCCGTAGTGACGGCTGCTACGTCCTAATTTTCCGTCCTAGAGCTGTGCACTAGCAACGTTCTGCTACTGCGATCCCGACCCTCCGTGCCACAAAAATAGTCTAGCTTCATCAGGCCGGTGTGTGATTATTGCGATAGGCCAATCGCAGCTTTCCCGCGAGATCATCAACAGCCGGAAGTCCAGGTGAGCGGCTGAGACTTTCGAGACGCACGGTGCTCATTGTTGGCCAGGATACTGCCTCGCATCAAAATCAGATATCTTACACATGATACAGGTTGGTGTATCAAGGAAATGTTCTCACCAACATATCTGGTATTCGATCCATATGTTCTTATAGCCTGCATACCGCATACCAAGCAATAGGTCGTCCGCCCCCAGCTACTCTCGCAAAAGCACCCCATGATGTATGAGAGTTCGATGGAAAGTTCCCCTGCCTTACAGTCGTAAATCTTGCTCCCATTTGCAATTCTTCACCAGATCGACACTCATTGAGGCTCTCAGCGAACTGACGGTGCAGCGGGAAATGTGCTTCGCAGTCTCAGGTCAGCCGCAAGATCACTCAGTTATACGAGCAGTAGTACTAATTCCCCCGTCTGACGAATGAAACTTTAGCACTAGCTATATACGAGTATCTAATCACGTTAGACCTGGAAGTGGAAGCGGTCTGGCGACGGAGGTGGACCGCCAGTTCCGTGTTACTACTTTCAACTCGCTGGGTGATGGTTTTCACCGCCATGGCTCAATGCGTCGCTCTGTTACCTTACGTAAGTGCGTCAGCTGGCGTTAGATCGTCATGCTTATTGGTCGCAATTAGAGGTATCTGATAATGCTTGGTACCGCTCAACACCTGACTGACCCTCAATTTTGCAAGCTGCGAAGCCACCGAGATAGTCAGTGACATTCTCTTGTATGTCAGTTGGTTCCAGGTTGCTGGTAGGCACGACACTATCACACCAGAACTGTAAACTTATGCCTTATCCACCAGTCTTCTCCGCTCTGCGTGTCATTGGGGTTACTGGCGGGAGGCGTGGACTTGCAGCAGTGGTTCTAGGACTGGGTATCGTCCCAATCGGCATTAACATGGAAAGTTTTGATGCCTCTCGATAGCTCGCTGCTAATGCTTACCCCTACCTATAGTTTGATATTACCAGGACGCGTTTTATCTCGGGGTGCAACAGCTTCTTAGATGTCTCAGGCAAAACACTTCTAATGTGTGTAGCATCTGTAATATTACCCCCGCAGGGACCTGACACACATCACAGCTGTAGGCTTTGTCGTTGTCAGCATATTTCTAACGTGCTTACGCGGATTTATAGTCGGCCTTATTTGTCGATTGTCGTCCATCCTGGCCGACCTCCTGGTGGTCATCGTAACGTGGCGTAATACCCCCCAGTATTGGAAGAATATCTCTAGATCGTGGTCCACTGCAACCGTCTCGTCGTGTTTACTGCGTGATGGTGAGCCGTGTGGGTGTCGATAGAGTGCAGACGACTAAGTAGTACTATTTGTCTCAGGGACAATCTACTTTCTGTGAGTTCGCGCTGACAGCGTGCCCTTATATCAAGTCGTCCCTAATCGTGCGTACTAGGGCCTTGTTACTTGTGAATGTCGCAGAGATTCTGACACATCACCCTGTAAGTCAAATCAACTCCTTACGATCCGCCATATTAACCATTGACTAGATATTAAACCCTGTATCTGTGCTCATCACGTCGCTGGTAAGCTCGTCGCTACACCGGATAACGCTGTACTGACACAAATCAGCCCCCGATTCTCGTGAATCGGTTCATGTTGAATCTCCGCCAAGTGCAGTCCGAGCCGAGCTTCCAGTCTTGCTCCACTATAATCCCTTCATTTTACCCAAGGAATTCCGAAGCCGATTATGGGGCGTTCACAAGCATCATCGGTAACATTGGCGAGCCTCTTTTGCATGGATATGACGAGGAAACCGAGGAGCGTACGTCACCGGCATTCATAATAGACCTTCGTCAGAATGCCCCAGCATAGCCGTGACACGTCTTGCTCACTACTCTTCTCCGACCTCTGCATATTATGCCCAATATTTTTTGAAAGACTTGTATCCATATATTTGTAGCCTGTAGCTGAAGAATCTATTTTGCTCCGCTGTTTGTAGGAAGATGATAACGATGCGCTGTATTGTAGGTGGCCGACTATTAGTACTAGCAAACCTTCAGTACCTACACTGCTTGTCATTTTTGCTACTACCTGGTTCACATGGTTTACATGCAGGTATACAACAACTTGCAAGAAGAGAGCAAGAATATTGATACTGACCTCTACAGGCCAGTCGAGGTATCCCCCAATCCGACGGATCACCCTGCGGCTTCCATCTTTTTCCCGGCGCCTCACTTTGCTCTGCTCATGCGCCTTCGAAGTTCGAGCAGATATTTAGAGCGTAGCATGCTCAATACGGTGCGTCCAGTCCCTACACTGGGATAAACTTCGTATAGACGCTGTAAGGCTTTTTGGGACATCCGGACCGCTGTCCCAGCCTTTTTTTCTATGGCCGTGCGTTAGTGGCAACGCCCCGCTCCTGTTGTCCCTGACCTATCATCTCGCGAAGACAGCACAGCCTTATATGATCAGCTACGGCTGCTGTGGTGGACTAAGCATAGCTTTCCCTCTGAGGTCAGGCAACATCAGGAAAAGCCGGAAGTCCAGGTCAGCGGCTGATACTTCCGAGACGCACGGTGTCCGCTGTTCTTGGAGATACTGCCTCACCACGAGAAGTTAGTACGTCGCTTCGTATCAGTATCAGACATCATATGCATGATACGGAATGTTATGTGTAGGCCGCTCAGCCAGAGACTCTTGTAACTTCTCTCCCTAGGTCACGCGATGTCAGAAAAAGTCGGACGTCCAGACTAGCGGCCGACTCATACTTTCGAGACGGGCCAGACGGCGTTCACTGTTCTCGGCTGAGATACTGCCTCGCTACGAGAAGTTGGTACCCATATGCCCCCTCATCTCAGTAGCAGATATCTTATGCACGATACGGAGTGTCATGCGCACAGGCGGTGTATCGAGGCATTTTTTTCCATCAACAGATCCGGTATCCAGGCCCTTTTGTATTTAGAG